ATTTCTTATTGTTTAATGATGCGTGTTAAAAACTTTATTATTATTGAATTTTAATTAATTGGTCATGTTATGCTATTCAAATGTTATTCAAAAAAATGTGCGGTTGCTACAAAAAGATTTTTGTTCAGCTGGTAGCAAACAAGTTAATGCGATTCTTCGTTTTTGTATTTATATTATAACTACTTTTTGTATATTTTAGTACAAATATTTGTTTTAACTTTAATATAATTTGTACGGTTATTAGTGAAATAATTTATTGAATATTTATTTTTTACTTAGTTCAGTTTATGTTTTATTTAAGTCACTTTTTATTCAGTTTATACTTTAAATTAATTTATACGCTTTAGTAAAATTATCCTTTAGTATCTAGTTTATATTTAGTTTAAACCAGTACATTTTACTGCAAATATTCGTTATATATAAAATTTTTATTTTTATAAATTTTATAAATTTAATTTTTAATTGCATCATAAACTTTTTTTTGGGATTTAGTAAAAAGTTATACAATTAACATGACTTGGAGATTGTAGCAAAAAAATAATACGACATCTTGAAAGAAAAAAATTTATACGATGACGTCATATACTGAAACTGTTATGTGTTAAACACGCATGGAATGTTTTTAATTAATGTTTTCCGAAGTAATTGTGTTAATATTATTTTGATCAAGAAATCCTTTAATTTAATGGGTATAAAAGTAGTTGCATTTATTTTGCAAAGTACCAAAATCAGTAAAATAATTAAGATCAGGATCAGATTCATCGTCTAATAAGAAATTGTTAGTTTGAAAAAAGTTATAAAAACTAGACTCAAAAGTTAAGGTTTCGTTAGAATCCGTTTTATTTTTGTTTTTTTCATAATTGAAACGAGATTAAAGAATTTCTTTTATTAATCCTGTGTGATTATGATATATATAACTTTAGCATACTTACCCTTTGCCTTCAAATCTTTAGCCTCATTCAGGAGAGTTTTTTTTGCAATTCTAGCGTATGATCACTAATCTTCATTTATGTAAACCTTTTGAGTCCATAATTTCATCGTCGTGTATTTTCCTAATATCGTGGCTTTGTCTTTGCAGTTAAGAAATCTGACTATAATCAATCTGTTTTTTTGATTGTTTTCAGGTAATTTCTTTCCAATTTTTTTTTGATGTGCTCTTTCAATTTCAAAGTTTGCGTGTAGCTGAAGTTTATTATTTAAAAATTCCCTTACTTTATTTTCACTGTCTTCCCAACTTTCGTTTTCAATTTCTTCAATCCCACAAAATCTTAAGTTGTTGCGTCGACTTCTGTCTTCGAATTCAGCCAATTTGTTAATCATGTTAGTATTTGCATATTCATTTATTAATGTTGTTTTCAGGCTTGGTCGGGAAGCAGGAGCGATCGCTCTCGAATACTGACCACGGAAATTATATTTAGTTGCGAAAAACTGGCCAGGTTTTTTAGTCGTTTTGAGAACATTTAAGTTTATTTACGAAACAAAAGATTTTTGTTTTACGGACATACATGGAAACATGTATGTCTGTAAAACAAAAAACTTAAATGTTCTCAAAACATCTTGGTGCGAAAGAATAAAAAGAATATTTGCGAACACTAAAATCCTGCCAAATTAAGGAACAAACTAATTCTATTGGTTCAAAAAGTACGCTGACTAAGCGAAATAAAATTTTGGAGCATTTTGTTGAAATGTTTTAGAAATTATATTATTCACGATTTGTTACGTTTTCAGATTTCTAGCATAAATCGTTTTAAGAATATATATTATTTGTTTACAAAAATAAATGTTTTAAATATATATTAATTAAAATTTTAAAAGTTTATTATAAATTATAGATTTTATTAGTACATTTTTTTTTTTTTTATTTAAAAAGTATGTATTCTTTAAGTAAATGTAAATTTGTTGATCTTTTTTTTTATTGTAAAGTATCTTTTAAAGCAATTTTTATGATTTAAACAAAGACTTACAAAAATAATTGCGTTTTCAATAAAGTTATAATCGTTAAAGTTAATAAAACTAATCATGTAACACATATAAAAAGTCTCTGGTTACTAAACACAAACAACGCATACAAAGTAACTCACGGATGAACAAGCACCCCGCCTGAGGTCACAACAGAACACAAATATATATAGCAAATAATTAGATATAAAGAAAAGTTTCTAGATATTGGTTTACTAACTCTAATTATTTTCGCTTCATTTGCCATTCTTAAAAACTCGTTACACTTTTTTCTGCTTTAATTACCAATTAAAAAGCCCACTCACGAAAGATCATCAGCGATATTGTGAAGCAGTTTCGCTTCCTGGTCATTAAGTATTTTTGACCTTTTTAGTTGATTTCTATCTTGTTAATTTAATGTCTATAGTAATTCAATGATTTAATTATTTCATTTGTTTATCTTACTAAGAAGAATTGCTTCAAATATGTTAAACTTTTCAAACTACGCGAAACATAAAATAGGTATTAATAAAAATTAGCTTTTTTATTTTTATTTTTATTAATTTTTTATTTTTATTTAGCTTAAATAAAACTAAAACTTGCAAACTTTGTTTAATAAAGAATATTTGTTTCCTTTTTAAACAATCGTAAGATGTTACTTTACATAAAAAACATCGCTTAATTTTATAAAATTTTTTTTGTAATTGTCTCTCATCGGTCCAATTAATCTTCAGCGTTTTTTTTTTTTTTGCTTGTTAAAATGTTCTCAAAACGACTAAAAAATCTGGCCAGCTTTTCGCAACTAAATACTATTTATGTGGTCAGCAATCAAGAGCGATCGCTCCCGCTTCCTGACCAAGCCTGTGTTTTTGATATTTGATGATCAGCAACTATTTTATCATAATTTTACTCACAAATTCAATAGCTTTATTAAGTTTGGCTAATTTCATTTTTAGTTCCTTATTCTCGTCAATTACTGAGTTTAAATTGTTTTTAAGCTTTTCAATTTTATCATTAAACATCTTCATAATGGTATTTTCATGAATTTCCAAAATATCTTTTAATTGTGCAGATGTAAAATTTTTAGTAGCCATTTTGAAATTTTTTTGATAACCAGTAGGTAAAAAAAACAAAAACGGCCAATACTATACTCTAAGATCTTGTTAAAGTTATGAATTAAATCATTCAAAAAGCTGAACTCTTGGTAATTTATTTGGACTAAACAGCAGATCCATACAATGCTATTTGCTTCTCTTTCACCATTTTTGTGAAGCATGCATTTTTAATGTAAAATGATTTTCGGGCAACATAGGGGAAATATCTGAAGAAAATAATGTTTTTGTAAAGCTTATGAAGTAGTCTATCTCTTTATACACCTTTGCTTGACTAAATAAAGAAGACTTTTGCTGGATTTAAAATTCATGTTTATTCAAAGTTTGATCTGTATTCAAATCAAACTCAATTAGTGACAGGTAGATACTATAAACTATCTGCTCAAGAAACAATTGAAATAATACATTTGTATTATAACGTTTATGATAACATAATTATATATATATATATATATATATATATATATATATATATATATATATATATATATATATATATATATATATATATATATATATATATATATACATATCAATATTATTATGAATTTAATTTATTTGTTTTAAACTTTTATACTTATTTAGCTAATTTTGATCTTAAAGCATGTTTATTTGAATGATTCAATATTTATTGGATTATTATTATTATTATTATTAAGGGGAGGGGTGAAAATTAAAATAAAAGTCTTACTTTTTTATTTTACGTTATAAACTAGTTATAGATTTTACATGCAGTCTTTTTTTAAATGTTCTTAAAAAGTCATAACATTTTTTATATGCATATGTTCAATGTGCACATAAAGACACTTCATGCCTTAGACAGGGATTAGTTAAAACCAGAGTTTAATTCAAACCTAATTTATGAATCTTTCTGATTATAAAATATATTTTATCTTATATAATTTTAGATGTATTTTACAAAATAGAGTGCTTTATGTTCTTAAAAGAACAGAGCAATAATAAATTAGTAGTAAATCAAACTTATTTCATTTTCAAACTTATTTCATTTTACACTGTTTTATCAATTAAAGATTCATCAGAAAAGAATGTTCAAGTTGATAAAGCTTCAATTTATACCAAAAATTAAGCTACTATAAATGTTCACACATTTGTGGACACTATTATAAAAAGAATTTTTTAGAATTGTTTTCTTCTGCTTTATATATATATATATATATATATATATATATATATATATATATATATATATATATATATATATATTGTATTACAATTCATATAACGCAAACTCAAGTATTGATGTACTTAATTTACTCTATTACTCTAATATTTTATTTTTATTATATCAATGAATTTTGTGCTAATTTCAATATCTTGATCTTGCAAATGAAAAAAAATATTAAAAATAGTGTTGATCTTAGTTTGTAGGTGGTTTAATGTAAAAATAAAATTTTTAAGTTTTAGCTAACATAATTTTCAAGACTTCCAAATTTTTTATTTTCTTGCATTTTATTAGTAAATTTCTAAAAATTAGGAAGTCTAGCATATATAAACCTAAAAAAAAAAAAATAATAATACCCAGTGAAAAAAAATACTTTTCTCACATGGATTCCATGTGGGTTCTGTGTGGAATTCATGGGATCCCACATGCAACCCATGTGGGACAAGCATTTTTTTTTTCACTGGGTGTATTTGGAAAATAATTAAAAAAAAAATTGAAACATTTTTTGTTGTTGTTGTTAGAACAAGTTGAATTAATTAATTTATTTATTTTGTTATATTTTTTTAATTAATTGATTTATTTATTTTGTTATATATTTGTTCATGTTACATTTTGTTTAATATTTTTAAATACATTTAATTTTGAATACTAGTTTGTGTTTTGTTTTGAAAATTCTACCTAATAATATTTGGTTTTCATATTTCAGTGATGAATTTGCGCCAATTTTACTTGACATTGTTGATTAGTTTAAAAATTTTATTTTTTAGAAAATCAACATTTGGAAAACTTCTTTGTTGCTCTCGCTGGAAAAAGTTCAATATGTTTTTCGATTGTTGAAAACGACAATGGTTTAATGTATGTTTTTTATGTTAAATATAAATGTTAATATATTTTTTTATATTAAATAAAATTATTAAAGTCAAACTGTAATTTGTAATTATTATTATTTTTATTATTGTTATTGTTATTATTATTATAAGAATTATAATCATTATTTAACTGAACTGCTTAGTGTTTACCTAATGTTTTGTTTTAAACTTTTATATATGGCTACCTCGTTTGTCTTGGTCTCATTTTTAAATAGTATATTTTACTTATTTGATTCTGTTGATTTTTTTAAAATAACTTTTGTAAATAGATAAAGTTAAAAATGAAATATAATATAAAATAAATAAATAAAAATAACAAAAATTAATATAAAAAATATATTTTTATTATAAAATAATAAATTTAAATATGTATGAATAAAAATAGAAATAAAATAAAAATTAAAAAATATATAAATATGATAAAAGTAGTATAAAAAATGTTAAAAAAAAAACAACAAAACGGGAACAAAAATAACATGCCCCCAAAAGTCGCCAACTAGAATGCTATATGTATATATATATATATATATATATATATATATATATATATATATATATATATATATATATATATATATATATATATATATATATATATATATATATATAATTTAAGTAACATTTTAAAAATTATCCAGAAACTTTTTTTTAGTGTTACTTTACAAAGTTTGGAAAAGAGCTACAATGCTTGGATGTGGGATGGTTTTTGGGTAACACAAAACCAGATTTTATTAATATCTGCTCATAACACTGTTATTCTATGGAATTACGAGTCAAACACAACTAAATTAGTTTCAAGTTGTTCTGAGCAATGCATTTTGTATCCTTTATATAATATAAAATTTTCTCTTTTATATAAAATAATTGGTCCATGCAGCCAATTTAGTTTTTATTTTAGGCTTTCAAATATTTTAATTTTATCTTTAATTGAAAATATTTTTTCATATCTTTTTTCATATCTTTTTTCATATCTTTTTAACATTAATGACTTTTTTAATTACTCTTTTTTTATTTTTTGATGACTCTTCATTTTCATGACTTCACTTTGAGTTTCCATTTTTATGACTTTTTACTTAATTGACTTTTTACTTAGTTGACTTTTTACTTAATTGACTTTTTACTTAATTGACTTTTTACTTAAATGACTTTTTACTTAATTGACTTTTTACTTAATTGACTTTTTACTTAAATGACTTTTTACTTAAATGACTTTTTACTTAAATGACTTTTTACTTAAATGACTTTTTACTTAATTGACTTTTTACTTAAATGACTTTTTACTTAAATGACTTTTTACTTAATTGACTTTTTACTTAATTGACTTTTTACTTAATTGACTTTTTACTTAAATGACTTTTTACTTAAATGACTTTTTACTTAAATGACTTTTTACTTAATTGACTTTTTACTTAAATGACTTTTTACTTAAATGACTTTTTACTTAAATGACTTTTTACTTAAATGACTTTTTACTTAAATGACTTTTTACTTAAATGACTTTTTACTTAAATGACTTTTTACTTAATTGACTTTTTACTTAAATGACTTTTTACTTAAATGACTTTTTACTTAAATGACTTTTTACTTAAATGACTTTTTACTTAATTGACTTTTTACTTTAACGCCTCTTCACTTTGATCACTTTTCACTTTGATGACTCTTTTCTTGTAGTTAAGTTTGTTAATAAATGAATAATTTTTTTTTTATTGGTATGCTGCAAATTACATAACTAACTTTTATTTCAAAAATTTTGTTAACACATACCATTAGATACTCAGCAACATTTTCAGAGATAGAGTATGAAATTTATGTAGGCGTTGGTACAGTATTTAACAATGTTTTAGTATGGAAAGTTAAACATAATCTGGATGAACATTATTATGAGGACACCTACAAAACATTTTCAGGACATGAGGTAAAGAAAAGTATCATTCTTTAGAAAAGTTTTTAACAATGAAATGTATAAAACAAATACTTATTTGTTATAAGTATAAAACAAATACTTATTTGTTGTTGTTTTTTATTTTAGGGTGTTATATTTCGTGTTCGCTTTCATGAAAATAAAAAACAACTTTTATCAGTATCAGATGATCGAAGCATACGGCTCTGGAATATTAAAGATCAGAATTGTTTAAGAATTATGTATGGCCACTCAGCTCGTGTATGGGATGCACAGTATCTTTTAGATAATATTGTTAGTATTGGTGAAGATGCTGTTTGTCTGTTGTGGAATAAAGAAGGTCTAATTGAAAAGAAACTAAACACTCATAAAGGTATAGATAATAAAAACCAAATAAATGATTTTGTGTTATATTTTACTTTGAGACATACAGTTTTATTTAATCTAAAATACTCTTTAGGAAAAAGTATTTGGAGCCTATCTGTTTCTGCTGGATTGGTTATTACTGGAGGGGGAGATGGATCCATCAGAATGCTATGTTTGCAACATGAACCTTTGCTAAGTATTATTTTATAAACTTTTTTCTTCAATAAATTCTCTAAAGTTTGATAATGGCATAATTTTAAATCTTTCAGAAAAAAACTTGATTAAATTGCCAAATTTGAACTGTTCTGAAGATAATGATTTTCCTCGTCATGTGAAAATACTTGATGAAACTTGTTGTCTAATATTAACTAATCAAGGGTATGTTTATATATTGTAAGAATAATTAAAATTTTCTTTTATAAAATGTTGCAAGGAAATTATTAAAAACATTTAACTTAATTTTGAGGAAGTTCTACAAATACGTACAACCTCTACACGATTGGATTCTTATTGATACAGATGAAAGATATTGTTCGTATAGTTGTGTAGCTTTGCTTGACCAAATGGTTGCCGCTGGTAATTTGTATGGAGTTATAAAGGTCTTTTTTTTAGGTAAGAAATACAAATATAAGGTCTTACAATACAAAAATAAAGTCTTGTTTTTAGGTAATAAAAGTTGATAAGAATAAAAAAGACAAAGTTCTTTTGAAAAAATTTTATTGAAGACGTTTTTATAAGTTAAAATTATTAAAAGAAGGTGCAGAATTTAGAAACAGAAGTTTGTTAAATATAAGTTTATTTTATTTATATATACTAGCAAAAAGTAACCCGTAATACGGGTTATGGTTGGTCTGTTACATAATTAATTTATAGTGGCTGTTTTCCACAAATTAAAGTTGCGAATTCTTAACTAATATCCTGTTAAAAAAACGTCTTTAAATTGAACAAATTTATCTTTCGGTAAAATTAACATAATAAGTATGAGGAGATAAAATAATTTACCATTTATTGGAGTAATTTACAACTGACATAGGTCATATCAGTGTATGGCAGAACCATTTTTATAGACATTTTTAAGTTCAACACAAAATAATAACACTTCGCCATTCTTTTTAAATATCAACTAAATTCTTATAAAATTTTTAATAAAAACCTTAATTGTTTATTAAGATTATCATGAAGTTAACTTATATTATATTATACAGGAGTTATTAACTTTTGGTATCCCCTCTCAGGTTAAATTTTTCTTTAGAAAAGAAAATTTGTTATCTTAACAACGTTAAATGCACTTAACTAAATAAGTTAATTAATAATAACAAAGTTTATTATAAATAACTAAGCAATTAAGTACAAATATGTTTCAAAAAAAATAATAATAATTTACAATCAAACATGTGTATAACAAATTAAAAAAAAAAAGTTAACTTTGATCTTTTATATTGCGTCATACGAAAAACCTAAAATAAAAATTGTAACACATAAGTAGGCATAAAAAAAGAATAAAAAAAAGTAGACATAAAAAAGAAAGAAAAAAATGACTGGAAAACAATTTACCTGCTTTTGGTAACCTGTTATCACACTTCAGTTGCTGTCATGATGCAGCAGTTCTTGTCGGTGTTGTTTAATGACGTTATTTAATGTTGGCTTTCAGTAAACTTTAGTTTATTTTAGAAGACATCGCAATATATTTAAAATATTTAAATTAAAAAGCAAAATAAAATTCTTTTAGGAGCTAAACTTTAAACATATAAGATAAAAAATCAAATTGAGAGATAAATTAATTGCATTTATATAGCTAAATATATTGTCTTGGCTAATAGTAAATTTTAAAAGCAGCGAGTGCAATATATTATTTTTAACAATTGAATGTAGCATCATTATACTATGATGATTGGATAATGAATCGATTTAACTGTATTTTGAGTTTATTTTAGTTTTCATTTTAATTAAAAAAGACGAAAACAAATCAAACATACAACAGAATATATTATTTAAAAAAATACAAATTAAAAACAAAAAAAATTACAAATTTAAACAAAAAAATTACAATTAAAAAAAAAATTACAAAAAAAAAATTACAACAAAAAATTACAACAAAAAAAAAAAGTTACAAAAATAAAAAAAAAAAATCCCCAAAGAAAAAGCAGCAACAAAAAAGTTATAAATATCATAAATGATAGAAGTTATTTATAACTCTTTTGTTGCTGTTTGATCTTCGGTGTCTACCAACACCCCGGTATGGATAAGCCCTCCATTTAAAAGAGGACTCATCTATACTGCCATTTGAACACCACTTATTGAAGGACCTCTCTGAGAGAGGCCCTGGGTGTTGGGAGCGATATTTTCTATACATTTCGAATGTCAATCGATCTAAAATAACAAATAGAAGAATATAATAAAAGTTATAAATATTTAGAATTTTATTTAATCAAAATATAAAGCATAACCTCACCATTTTCAATGGTAACAGAAGACGAAGCTTAAAACATTAAAAAAGAAAAATGAGTAAATTAAAAAAATTTGTTTTAATAAAAATATAAAACAAGAACAGTTAAAAATGTCATATTTATTAAAAATTGTAAAACTTGCGATTTTATTTAATATAAATATAATTCATAACCTCACCAGTTTCATTAATGACAGAAGACGATGTTTAAACATTTAAAAAAAAAAGGGTTAATTAAAAAAGGTTAAATGTGAAAAATTTTATTTTAATAAAAATATAAGTAAAATAGTAACAGTTAAAAAATATCATATTAATTAATTAATTGTTTCACATTTTGCACATATTTCTCCAAACAAAATATATAAAATACAAAACACAGCCCTATCAGTTATGCTTTTTCCAGACACTAAAAACAAAAAAACATACCTCATAATAATCGATAGAATAATGTTTACATATAAATAACGTTAACATAAATATATTTATAGTTATAATTTTTTACCTATTTCCCTCATTTCCTCCATAAAGTTGTCTAAGGTAAGAAAAAAGATAACTGAAGCTAAAACTAGTTAAAAATAACTATAAACTAAACCAAAACTATAAACTAAAATAAAATTTATAAATCTTAATATAAATGTCTTATTTATTTAACTATACTAATCATATAATTCATACTTAGTTTTTGTTCCAACTCTCCTAGAAGGTACTTGAAGTTTTAAAATTCCAGATACATTACAAATAAACAAATTCCTAATAACAAATATCTAATAGCAAAAACACTGACTTGTCTCACTCTTCAACTCTTTTTCTAAACAATAAAAGCACTTAAATTTATAGACGTTAAAATATCTACTGAATTTTTTAAAAATAAATTCACCTAACTAATGTAAATAATACCTTCATGAGCTCTCTCTTTATTAACTAAAGGAAATAAATCTTAATTAAACTAATTTAATATAAAATGACAAAAATCTGTCTGAATAAGAATTTTAAATTTCTTTTCTTAATTAAATATAATTTTAAGTAGGATGTGAACTTTTGGGCTTTATGCATAAGATTATAAAAACATACTATTTTACAGTTTTTAAATCTACAACAACATTTTGAAAAACGTTTTAGTTACTTTATAAGAAATAAAAAATCTTTTTAAACTTACTACCTCTATTTTCATTGTTGTTAACTAAACAGAAAAACAAACAGTTGATAGTAAATTTACACTTTGGTAGAAGATTAAAAAGATTAAATGAATCTTTGATATATTTAAGATACTATGTTAGGAAGATTTTAAAAACCTGAAATTTTAAACCTCCTTCAAAAAAAACGTATATATAGTAAAGAATTTTTATTTCTTTTTAAAAAGTAAAAATGCTTTCTAACTTACTTTCTCCAATAATGCTGTCGTCATCTAAAAAGAAAAGCAAAAGTCGATTCTGATATACTTAAATTATTTCAATAATAAAATAAATATTTAATCTTTCTCAATTGAATTAATTTACAAAAATTTAAAAATCGTTTAAACCATTTTATTATTTCAAAGTTAATTTAAATCAACCAACATATACGAACTGCAATTTATAACATTTAATTATAACAAAATGGAACAAAACTTACTTCTTAGTAATTCAGCGACTAAAAAAAAAACATATATTTAAGAACTAAGTAACATGATACAAATCCGTAACATAATAACACATTTAAATAAATACAAGCCTTTATCTTCAACATTTTGGGACATTCTATTAATTTAATAAAAAAAATAAAAATAAATATGCTTAAAACAAATTAAATAAAGGTAATAGACACGTTAAGACATAAAAAATGTAAACGATTAAAATAATTAAACAGAGTACGACCTACTTCAAAGGTATGATGAGATGCAATAGAACGATTAAATTGATTAAATGTGCTTTTTTATAGGTCTGGAAATTTTTATCTCAAAACTCCAGAACAGAAGAAAAACTAACAAAGCACAAAACAGCGCACAAACAAAACTGCGCATCAATGAGCCTAACAAAACAGATAAAAGTAAAAGCGCATTTAACTTTGGCATTACATTATAACAAATTACATAACGATTAGTATATTCAATTAATTATATGTGACCTCATGGTAGAAAAGGGACCACATGGCAGGATCTAGTTTCTGAGAAAAACTCGTTTAAACACAGTGACCTGTGGTTTTTAAGTTTTCTGTTTTCATTTGAATTTGATAGATGGATAGATATCTGACTATTAACTGAATTGATTATTTGGTCATATTAACGTTAACATATCAACATTTTCCAAAAATATTGCAAATAACATTTTTGTTAAAACTTAAATTGATTTTAACTTTAGAATATAAAAAATCATAACTTTGGATCCAGTTTAGTTATTTTAAAGATCTTGGTGTCATTTTGTTCAGTTTAATTAGCTTGTTTTTGTCTTATGAATAACTCATTCTCCCCTGTCTACCGGTCCCTTTTCTACCGCGAGGTCACATATTATGACTAGCAATTTTAATCAATGTCTAAAACTTAATATATTTTTTGTGAATGAGTTAAATACAAATTTAATATTTGTTGCATATTCCGTCTGGACCATATAGCCTTCTAATTGTTATTTATTGCGGCTTAACAGGAAATCACAGTCAATTATGTCTTAAATCCATTTTATGAGCCAAAAAATCCTAAAATAGTTTTTTTTTTTAGTTATATATTTTGTTGGTTATTAATTTCATCTCACCTCAGCCTATTTCTTGCATTTCTGCGATGATTATTTTCAACTTGCCTAATCACACTGTCCTCATTTTGATTCAAATTATTTGCAGCTTGCAGTGCAGCATATCTAGCATTTTGTTGATTATTAATTTCATCTCACCTCAGCCAATTTCTTGCATTTCTTCAACGATTATTTTCAACTTGCCTATTAACATTTTCATCATTTTCTAAACTAATAGCCACTTTTAGCCTTATATCATCCATTTAAACTTCACTTTTAATTGATAGTAGTAACAAAAAATCTTGAAAGAATCTTGAAGATTGTGATCTTTTTTTTTATTTACTACTCTAAAATGCACACACACAAAGAATAATTTTTAAAACATTATATAGGAAATTTTCATTTAAAATAAACTAAATTATACAACAATATTGTGAGTTTTTTATAAAAACATTTTTATAAATATATCCGTTAAAAGATGTTTAAACAAAAAATAAACTTATAAATATAATGTAAATAAAAAATTAACCAATAGTAATAAAAAATAATAATAAAAATTTTAATGATAAAGGGTACTGTTAATACAAAAAATAGAAGACAAAAAAATAATAAAAAGTAAAGTATTTGTAAACCCCTTTTAGTAAACTTTAATATTATTTCTATAAAAAAATTGTATAAAAAACATGCAAATAATTTAACCTTCACAAACAATGACTGTTCAAAAGTTGTAGTTTAATTTATTTTTCTAAATTCTAAAGAAAAGAAAAAAATTTAACAGCATCACTGAAATACCAATAATATAATAAGCAACATGACAAAGTTTATCATAGATTAGTTATCTGGTTTTTTTTTTTTTTTTTTTTTTTTTTTTTATTATTTAATCTTTTTTCCAATATTTTATATTATTTATTACACATTAAAATCAGAAGATTAAATTTATTAAAGCTTTACATAAGTTAAAAGCAGCTATAAACACTAAAAATGTTAAATTCAAAACGATCAAAAGAAATAAAATCTGCTGGAAATCAACAAATTAGTTTAAAATTATAACTTAAAAAAATTACAAATTTAAATGTGATTTTTGTTACAGTTAATAAACTGCTGTAGTACATTTTTCAAAACTGATTAATTGATATGGTATATATTCGAAGCAATATAATAGCCACGTTATATTGTGAATTAAAAATTAAAGTAATAAAAACTATAAATAATAATCTAAACAAATACTAAAAAAAATAAAAACAAACATAATTTAGAATATATTTTTTTTAATGTAAATAAATACCAAGGAAAAAACAGCAACAAAAAAATTGTTAATATCTTCACTGATTGAAGATATTAAAAAATTTTTTGTTGCTGTTTTTTACTTGGTGCCTCCCAGCACCTCTGTATGGATGAGCCTTCCATTTGAAAGAGGGCTTATCCATACCATTATTACTGCACCATTTGTTAAAGGACCTCTCAGAAAGAAGCCCTGGGTGCTGGGAGCGATATAGTCTGTAGCTGCTCCAATTTAGATCTAAAGAAATAAAAAATAATATAATAAAAAATAGATATTTGCATTAAAAAAAATAAAATAAAAACTCCTAATATAGAAAAATAAAAATAAAAACATCGTAAAACCTTTTTTAGCAAACTTCAATATTATTTCTTTGAAAAAAATATTAGTAAAAATTTTTAAAAAATTCACAAAACTTAACAATATTTTGTTCTTCTATACCACATAAATACATTATTAAATACATCAATAAATAAAAAATGTAACAAATAAGTAAATAAGAAAAACATTACATACAAAAAAATAAATCATTGTACCTGATAAAGCTGGTGTGAAATATATATATATATATATATATATATATATATATATATATATATATATATATATATATATATATATATATATATATATATATATATATATATATATATATTATATATATACAGTAGCTTTCAAAAATTTAGACGCATTCATTTTTTTTTTCATATATGTAAGAAAATACTCAAAATAAAAATAAAATAAAAGTGCTACAGCTATGTTTGATATATAATTTAAAAGAGGAAATGAAACTCTATTATAGAGTACCTTATTTTTTTTTACAGGATGTTTATTACTGATTTTATACCGAATAACACAAAAAAGTTAATTGATAAACTTGATTTTATTTTGTTCATAAATTTAGACGCACAATTAAAAAAGTCTTATATTTTGTTAATTGATAGTTAATTACTTGTTTTTTTCTTATATTTCTCATTAATAGGCCTAAATTAATTGATTTTGTCAAAAAACCTTATATAAATATGACTTACCTGGAATTATTTAATCATTATTTAATAAATAAACAGAAGTTAAGTTAGTTTTGCACTAAAAAAACGTAAAAAATGGGCAAAAGACGTATCACTCAAGGTGAAAGATGGCAAATTATTGCGCACATCAAAGAAGGAACCAAAAGTAATAGAGAAATCGCCAAGTTAATTGGAGTTTCTGAGAAATGCGTTCGGACAACGAAACAAAACTTTCTTCACACTGGTGGTGCCAGCGAGAAAATGAGGCCAGGTAGACTCTTGTCAACCACGAGAAAGGACGATAGTGTTCTTTTTAGAGCTGTCAGAGCTAATCCAAGAATTAGTTACAAAGAATTGACCACAGAATTCAATACAACGCGAAATACATCTATTTCTCAAAGCACAGTCCGCCGAATACTTATCAAATACAAGATTGGAGTCTACACTGCTTTGAAGAAACCGCTTCTGCGTCCATATGATAAACAAAGGAGACTAAAATGGTGTCGTGAAAGAAGGTATTGGACAATAGATCAATAGGAAAACATTATGTGGAGTGATGAGAGTAACTTTGAGCTTATCAATCGCAAATCTAACATAACAGTCAAAAGAATGGCTCACGAAAAGTATTACGCCAGGTACATTAGATCAACTGTACAAAGTGGAGGAGGCTCGATAGGAATCTGGTCATGCTTCAATTACAAAGGTGTTGGTATGTGCCAAACATACACCGGAAGAATCAACTCCAGAATATACGTAGAAGTACTGGAAAACAACCTAATTCCATCAATTGACCTGCTTATGCTCAATGATAAACCATGGAAACTTCAACAAGATAGCGCTACTGCACATACTGCATACTATACAAAGGAGTGGTTCAACGATAATAATATTATGACAATACCGTGGCCTCCATATTCACCTGATTTGAACCCGATTGAAAACATTTGGGCTTGGATTGATCGTGAACTAGCAAAGGTTCAAATTTCCACACTTGGTCAGCTGGAGGAATTCCTTAAGGAGACCTGGTATGGGGTCCCAGAAGCGATGTGCAAAAATCTTGTTGAGTCTATGCCTAGAAGAGTTCTTAGTTGTATTAAAGCAAAAGGCGGATACACAAAATATTGATTGGTTCATAAATTACGCCTTCTAATGTATCGTGCGTCTAAATTTATGAATAATTTTTTTTGTCTAATTTTTTTAATACCATGTAGTTGTACCTAATTATTACTTAGTATTTCATTTTTTTTTGTAAACTTTTTTTAAATTTTGTATTCTGTATGTATTTATCTGATAAATAGAAAAAAAACTAAACCGAAATCTTTTTTCGTCATTGTTTTATCGTTAAAATACCTAAAATTTTCTATTCTCAAGTATGAGTGCGTCTAAATTTATGAAAACCACTGTATATATATATATATATATATATATATATATATATATATATATATATATATATATATATATATATATTTTATAAGGTTATATAAGGTTATATATATATATATATATATATATATATATATATATATATATATATATATATATATATATATATATATATATATATATATATATATATAACCTTATATAACCTTATATAAACATGTATAAACACATTTATAAAACAATTATATAACTTATATTAACACATACACAAACAATAAAAAAACATGTTACATTATTATAAAAACACATTGATAAAAAAGCTATAAAGCACATTTTACAATATACACATAATTATCAAAAAAACAATGCAAACAATAAACATATAACTTGAATTGTGCAAATAAAAATTTTAAAAATGGCATCAGAAAATTTTAAAAGGTTCAGAGTAAACAAAATATGAATATTTATATACAAACAATACTCTTTACCTTTTTTTTTTCATAAGAACTGTAATTCTCATAACAAATATTTAATCTTTACATACAATAACATGTAACATGTCAGTGCCGGCACAAAATTTTAATTTATTTTTCTAAATTTTCTAAAAAAGAGCAAAAACAGTTAATAGCATCACAGAAATTTCATGGTAGTAATAACCAATTTTATTGAAATAACATATAACTTTTTTGTTGCATAAAAAATAATTAGACCTCATCCATACCTCTATCTTCCTTCTAAAAAATAGAAGATATGCTCAATAAAAACAAAACTGCTTGAAAAAAATAAAGCCAAAAAAAAAACTAAAACAAACAAAATGTAAATGATTTAAAAAATTAAAAGGAGTGATCCTTTTTAATTTATTTTTAATAAAAATACTATATATAAATTGCTAAACTATTTTCTATATTTACTTCAATTATAATATGATCTTAACGATGATTATTTATCTTTATATGATTCTTCATGTAATATTTCTAAACTAATCTTAACATTAATTCAATTCCTAAGGTAAAAAGTTTTAATTAGCTTGAAAGATCTTCCTCTAATAACCGCGTGCATTTTGAGAATGCGCTGTTTCAAGTTCAAAAAACCTTGTAACTAATTAAAACTGCTTTAAAAACGAAAGCGAAACGACATTGAACATTGAATTTTTACAGTATTAATATATATATATATATATATATATATATATATATATATATATATATATATATATATATATATATATATATATATATATATATATCAACCCTCCGAATTAAGCTCGGCACCTAACTGCTGACCTTAAAAGTGTTTGAAGTCGGCAGAAAATTGCCGAACTTGTTACTATGTTTTATGGTAAGACCTTTGTATCAAATTTTTTTTGTCAACCTCTAAAAGATTTAGGCTCGCAAATTATTGGTGACCTCATTTTTCCTAATTCTGAGGGTATGTATATATATATATATATATATATATATATATATATATATATATATATATATATAACTATACCAACTATTATGTTATGAAGATATGAAGTTATTATATTTTTAGACAATTGTTATCCTCCTATTGAAATATCAGCATTTGATGGAAAAGTATATAACCTGCTTTGGCTTAAAGTTGCAAAAGAAACCTTTTTATTAGTTTGTGGACCAGAAGGTGAAACAGTGTTATACTCTCTCTCTTTATCTTCTTTAAAACTTCATTACAAATTTGTTATTCCGTATTCACGACAAAGATGGGTAACTACTGCATTAATTATGGAACATTTACAAAATATGTATCTTATCTGTGGTGATCGACGTGGCTCCATTCACCTTTATAATACTAATTATCATGTAATTTTTTTCAACTTTTTTTTATTATTATTTATCATATTAAGAAATGGATTTTATAGTAAGATTATTTTTTGAAAAGTTATGTTTTGTTAAGTTATATATAACACAGTTATAAGCTTTTGTTTAAAATTAAAAAAACTTTTTAAAGTACTTTTGTATGTTTAACATGTCATTTTTCAAAACTTTGTTATTTTCTAACTAAAATATTTATAGTTTTGAACTAAAGTATAAAATCAGTTTATTGATCTTGTTTGAAAAATTGAAAATAATAAAAATAATAAAAGTAAAAAAGATAGAAAAGAAAGGTTTTCTGCAAATTTGTTTATTTAGTAATTTTATTTCCAAGGAAAATTAAAAAATGAAAAAAAAAAGTATTCTTTTAACAACATTCATGTATTTATGTATTATATTACAAAATTATAAATCATGGTTATATTTGAATCCTATTTATATCCAGAGTGTATCATGATCATATGATATGATCAGATATGATGAAGTAAATAAATATCATACATTACATAATACTGCGTACAAAAGCATTAACAGCACAACTTAAAATTTACCTAAATTTTTCAATTAATTTGCTTAAATCGCATTTGCTATTCTCTCTAGAAAAGCACAGCCACTGATCTTCAATATGAATTAATACTTTTCTGTTGAACTTATTGAGTTGTTGTTTCAGATGCTAAAAATTACCTAAATTTTAGCACCTGAAACAACAACTCAATAAGCATGAATTGAATTTTATGTTAAAAAAAACTGGTATAAAAGCAGTTATTGTAATATTTTAAAATGCATATTTTATTCATAATGATAAAACACAGTGTTAAATAAAAAAAATTTTTGCAAAGTAATTTTCTACTACTTTATTTATATATATATATATATATATATATATATATATATATATATATATATATATATATATATATATATATATATATATATATATATATATATATATATATATATATATATATATATATATACTGTACTGTATATATATATATATATATATATGTAGTAACGTGTAAAAGTAACTAGACAGGTGCATCACTTGATATAAATTTTGAATGAAAAGTTCAATTTCTTTCAAATTTTCACTGGAATGTCAAAAAATTAATTACAATTCTAAAAACAATCTAATCAAAAAAAGTTTATTTTATTGAAATATGCAAATGCAAAAGTATCCAGGCAGAAAAAAATACTCCAAGTAGATTTTTTTAAAAAACATTTTTTTAATTAAAAATGTTGTAATTTAAAGTAAATTTACTTTAATACTTTGTTTGGAAGCCCTTGGCATTGATTACTGCTTGACAGCAACAAGGCATTGAGTCCACCAGCTTCATAATCACATTATTGTGATTTTTTTCCCATTCTTGTTTCAGAAATTTAAATAAATCATGTTTACTTGTCAATTTTTGACCTGAAATTTGTTGATCAAGGTGTTCCCATAGATGTTCAATAGGATTTAGGTCAGGAAGGTCAGTTGCGAAGACCATTCCATTATTCAAATTTTTTTGATCTCGAAAAAGTCTTTTACAAGGGTTGAAGTGTGCTTTGGATCATTGTCCTGCTGAAATATCCATCCTCAAGTCATTTTATCTTTAGCATGTGGCTACCACATGCTAAAGATAAAATGACTAGATGATGGATAACATCCTTAATGATATCTTTGTACATTTTTTTGTCCATTGCCATCAATCAAATGGATAGGACTGATACAATCTCTATTGAAGCAACCCCAGACCATAATGTTTCCACCTCCAAGTTTTACTGTTGGTAGCTGGTATTTAGGATCATTTCTATGGTTTTTTGGTCGATGAACATATCTAATACCATCAGATCCAAAAAATATAAACTTAGATTCGTCACGAAAAAGTACTTTTGACCTTTGTTCCCTTAACCCATTCAAATGTTCATTATCAAATCTCAAGTGTTCTTTTCGATTCTTTATAGAAATGAAAGGTTTATTTGTGGGATGTCTTCTAAATAAATTTGCAGACCTCAAACGACACTTTGTTGTGTCAACACTACATTTGATATTATAAAATTTCTTTATTTCAGCATTCAGCATGAATTATTTTCAGATGTAATTTGAGGCTTTCCTAACTTTAAAGAGATTCTATTGTTATTTCTTTCCTCATATCTTTTATATATATCCGCTACTGTTGATTTTCTTATATCAAACTGGTCCGCTATGTCTCTTGTAGTTCTGCTTTGTTCAATTGCATGCAATACTGCTTCTTTGACAGCTAAACTTGTATATTTTCACTTTGTCATTTTTAGAATTTATTCAAAACAACACTTTTTTAATCAAAAATACTTTATATTTTATTTAGTGTTTTTAAACATTAAATAAAAGCTAACAAAAATTTTATTTGGAATTTTATTATTTTAATTCTACCCCGATACTTTTGCACGTGCATATTTCAATAAAATGAACTTTTAAAATTAGATTGCTTAGATTTAGTAAAAATTCATTTGTTTTTAGAATTTTAATTAATATTTTGACATTCCAGTGAAAATTTTAAAGAAATCGGACTTTTCATTCAAAAGTTATCTCAATTTATGCGCTTGTCCAGTTACTTTTGCACGCATATATATAATATATATATATATATATATATATATATATATATATATATATATATATATATATATATATATATATATATATATATACATATATATATATATATATATGTATATATATATATATATATATATATATATATATATATATATATATATATTTATACGTACATATGTGTGTTTCTTTGCAGGATTCTGTTCAGGTTTTGCTAAATGTGCATGGTAAAACAGGAGTAACATTCATTGCAACCAATAACAATAGAATATTAACTACTGGACGTGATGGTACTTATAGAGAGTATGAGTTAGAAAGCAACAAACTTACCTTAGTGGACAAACAAAAGGTCTTAAGTTAGCTAGTATTTTTTTTGCAGCTAAAATTTTAATCCATAAAAATAAAGAAATAAATCTATAATAAAGGGTTGAATCGACATGGGAAAAAAAAATCATTACAAATTCCTTCCCTTTTCTTGTGCAGATGATCACAGTAATTTTCTTCACTATTTGAGGAAAAAAAGGGGGTCAGTTAAACTATCAAAGTAATTTTTTTAAATATAAAATTTAATATAAAATAACTTTAAATATAAAATTAAGTTATAAAACAACTTTTCTAAAATTTAAAACTTACTACTATTTTAGTCCTGATTTGATATGAACCAGATAGTTCAATCAGAAATTATTATTATTTTTTATTATAATAATAAATTATTAAACAACAAATCACTGTCAATCTCTATTTTGATTAAATTAATAACAAAATAGTTAATCTTATCTTTTTTTTCTTTCAAAATATTTTATTGCAATGTCTTGTTTTTATATTATTTACTATTATGACAGGTTATTGACATTATTGTTGTTTGCATTTAGAGTTGTAAAGGGCTGGAGTGGGTTGAAGGTATTTGGAAATTTGGCAATGATATTATTTTATATGGTTTTTATATGGTAAGGCTTTTATAAATTCAAGTTATATTTGTGTTTTGAAGTGCATATTATTTAAAAGAATTAGATAAAAAATAATTTTTATAACCATGAGTAGCATTCAACCATGAGTAGTACTCATGTTTGGTCATTTGGATATAAAAATTAAGAAAAAAAAATTCAAATTATACAGGCTACTTACAAAAGTTTTAACATGGAATGAATTTAAGGTTATTAAGTTTAATATTTTGTTTAAAAAGTAGTTTTTATTTTTTTTATCACTGAAGAAATTAGAATTTTTTAATTTTATAAAAGAGCTGTGTAAAATTATATTCAGCCATTGCTGCAGTAGCTTCTTCACAGTTCAATAGATAAAAGTTTTAATTTATTATGACAGTTTAGGCTGTTTTGTCTTGCGCAATTTAAAATTAATAATCTCAAAGATTAGGATTAGTAAGTGTATGTGATATGTTATGTCAAAAAAAATTATGGTGGTTTCAACATACATAGCACAAAAGTGTAGATGATTTAAAATCATCATTTGTAATCAAAATTCTTGAAAATAGTGTAGAATTATAATTAAATTTTTCTTAGGGTTTTTTAATTTACTATAATTTTTTCAATAATTTTTCAGTTTCAAACTTAATGCTCTGCAAATTTTTCAGCAATCTTATTTTGCGGGCTGGAGCCCAAGACTGAATGAAGTACTATTTAAAATAAAGTGTGGGGGAGGTTATCGCTCGTGGGATGTTTCTTTTTCAGAACAGGTATTTTAGTTGTCAAAATATTTAATTAATTTTTTTAGATTTTAATAAACAAACTGTATTTAAATCAATTTTTTCTTCAATGGTTTCTATTGTTATTAGACAAATTATTTTTATTTAAATTTTTTTTTATTTGCTTAAATTAAAATTTTTTATTCTTTCATAAATTTTTGGGATTTTACTGTGACAAAAAATACTTTCATTTATGATGCTTTAACATGTGCAATAATTTCAAGTTAGCATGCTATAACATATGCAATTATTTTAATTTAGCATGCTATAACATGTGCAATTATTTCAAGTTAGCATGGTTTAACAAGTCCAATAGTTTTCTTATTATTTAAAATAGTTTAAATAATTGAGTTCTATTTCTTTTTTAGTTATAAGGATCCAGCTTAATACTAATATTTTTAGGGTTCTGACAAAGCTTCAAAGTTGGTATTCACTTATCTCAAAGGAATAACAATTAATATTGTTTCATATGACTTGAAAATAAATTATCAAGCTCTTATTTTAGAGGTTTGCATTTTTATTATTTATTTAATTATATAGTGAAAGGACTCAAATTATTTGTTTATTAGACATTTGTTAAAATGTGTTTTTCAGATTTAAGCTGAGAATGGTGTGGCTTTAGTTAAGTGCATGACTTAGTTTAAATAAATAAATCTTTCCCATGAATTATATGTAAACAAAAATTAAGTTTGGTTTTTTATGTTGAATTTTGAATATCTTGTTAACAGGATTATTTTGCATATTTTGTTAACAGGATCCTTTGCACGGGAAAGAAGTTACAAGTATCAAAGTGTTGGGAAAGCGCTTATGTGGAGGTATCTAATAATTAAAATTATTCAAATTTTATTTCTTATACAGATCTTTTGATGCTGCCATGACTTAAGTTAATCCCAGCACTATTTCATTTATTAAATAAGGTTTTTAAATTCAATGTTTTTTTTTTTTTTTTTTTTTTTTTTTTTTTTTTTTTTTTTTGTTTTGTTGTTGATAAAAAACATTATATTATACATTAAAAGAGCTTGAATTTAAGGTTTTATTAAGTGAATAAAAAAATTTTATAAAACAATTTGAGAATTTGTTTAAGAATATTTAAAATTTTAATGTGATTATTAAACAATATTTACATATTTTTTATATAAATTTTAGAAAACATAAAGAAAACAAAGAATTTTTTTTTAAATACATACCTATTTGCTCTTAAAAGTACAAAATTATTTTTAAATACACACCCATTTGTTCCTAAAAAGCATAAGATTCGTTGTTTTTTAAATACGCGCCTAATTCTTCTTAAAATGCACAAGTTTTGCTAGCTAGTCCTTGGTATTAAAGACTCAAGTTTTATGACACAAGTATTTTTTTTTTAGAAACTTATGAGTGGTTAATGGCAGCAGCTAGTGAGGATACAACAGTGACTTTGATATGTTGTATCTTTCTTTGATATATATTTTTTAATTGTTTTTATTGTTGTTTTGTTTTTGTTCAGTTATTTGTTTATTGGCATTACTCCTTTGTTTTTTTTTTAAACATATGTTAGTAAAATTATAGATATGACATTTGAAATTACTTGCTGTTTAATATGATGTAGTTGTTAATTTGTGTGTGTGTTTTCTTTTCTTTGTATTGCTATGTATTTTCTTTATGCATTTCTAACTCAAATATATTTAGATTTTTTATCCTTAATAGTATTTCAGATAATCCAGCTAAGAAAACAATTGTTTTGCTTCATACCTGTACAGGCCATATTGGTGGTGTTAAAGATATTTGTTTTGTTTTAGACAAGCAGTGTTTGTCAAAAATAGATGGTTTTTTATTTTCATGTGGGAGTAGGACATCATTAAAATGTTGGAGACTTTTTTATGATATATTTGTACCAATGAAATCATTGCCAATGGAATTATCACCATTTTACAATGAAGCTGGCCAAACTTATCAGGACCTAAATGTTTTTAAAAAAACAATGTCATGTAGTCTTTTTACAGAAATTTATAACCCTGAGTTAAAAAAAAAAAAAAAAAACCTTGATCAAGAAACACAAGATGATGTCAGATTTTTATCTTGCTCTTCATTTAAGTTGAATGAAATTGCTGGAAAAGAGTATTCTGTTCTAGAACATATTTTATGTATCTGTGCTTGCTCTGATGGCGTTACTCGGTAAAAGTTTATTAATTATTTTTTTTCCACTAACTAAAATTTTTTTGAGTTTTTTTAAAGTTTTTTATTTTATTAAATATTCAAAATAATGTCCATCATTATCTATACAAAGTTGCAACTTTTCAAGCCATTTGTCAAACGTTTTTTATACTCTTCTTTATAATCATCCAACATGATGCTAGTTTTCTTTTTTTGAAAGGGTTAATTTCATTGATTGTAAAATGATTAATTGATATAAGGGCTTCAATTATATCATGTGCTGCATGAGGGTTTTCTTAAGCAATGGCATGTTTATCATTCTCAGCTGTTAAAATTGTTTTTAGAGTGTTCTGAGATCTTTGAGACTCTCTCTACCACCTAGAAATAGAACAACTGCTTGCAGGCCTTGTTAAGAAGCATTATACATATATGTGAATTTTATGTACCAAATAGCAGTTTCACCTATATGTTAAGTCATTTGTGTTACACCAAAACGTTTTTCAATTAGAATATTTAAACAGCTTTTAAAATAGTTCATTCAGAAAAGATTAAAGCACTAATTAATTGTTGTAAAAAACATTTAAAAATTAACAAAAAAAAAACAAACAAATAAGTTAAATAAATTTGTTTATGCTTTTCGTTTTAAAAAATTTTCAATTTTTTATTTATTTTTTATATTTAAATTAATTTATTATTGAATATTAATAAATTTAAGTTAATTATATATAATAAACTTGAATATATTAATATTTAATTGAAAATTTTAAATTGGAGTATTTTAAGTTTTTAAAAAAACTAAAATTAAATTTAATATATTAAATTTAAATTTAATTTAAATTTAAACCCCTCCGTTATACATTTTAAAAATTTCCAAACATGGTAAAGAAAATTCTTTTTTATCAAATTTAATTTTAGTTACTTTTTTATGTTCGTTTTACATGTAACTATTTTGTTTATTTATAGTTATATTTTTTATTAATATATTAATTTAGTTTCTATTAATTTAATAATATATTTATTGTTTCAAACCAATAATTTTTCATCCTGTTACAAAAGTGCTTAATGCACTTATAACTGTATGAATATTGCCAGATAAACCATAAATAAGTCTGAATGCAAAATTAATTTAGATAATTTTTTTTAGTAAACTTTATGTAGCAAATTTATGAAAAGTTGATTTTTTTAAGTCTTGAAATCGCTTTTTAAAGTGTTTCCTAAGTGCCAAGACAAGTTGTGTTCATATCATAAATAATCCTTAAAAAATAAATTTTATGTTAGTTAAACTTTCCAGAACAAATTATTCTTAGGGAAGTTCAAAGGCTTTTTTTTTTTTTTTTTTTTTTTTCAAATACTGGTCTGATTAATGCGCTTTTGTAGTTAACAAATGGCGTGTCAATATAAAAAAGTTCTTTTAAATAACTTTAACTTGAATTATAAATGTTATATTTGGTTATATATAAGATGCCTTTATATATAACCTTTTATAAAACGTCAAATAAGCAAATAAAAATAACACGATCAATTAGTAAACGCTTTACAAATTATATTTATTTTATTTTAAAAACTAATATTAGTGCTAAAATATAAGATACGTAAGTTTAAAAAGTTTACTGATATTTGTTAAAAACAAGTTCTGCTAATAAAATCCTAAAACCGAAAATATATATATATTTTTAATTTATTTTAGATTTAGTATGTTATACCAGATATTTTTACAACAAAAAAAACTATGCAGGTTCATGGAGTTAATATTAAATTCTCAACTGGATAATGGCAAAACAACAAATGTTTTTGTTAATATCTCAATAAATAAATTGTTTTGATATTTTAATAAACTCAAAACTTATTTTCTAATGAACATAACTTGTCTCAGCACTTGTGAATCCCTTTAAGAAAAGTTTTTTCATTATCATTAAGTTTTTAAATTGATCCTAAAATGATCGCCAATTAGAAATGATTAATTAGTTTATGAGTAGAAGGCAAAGGTTTTGTTAAAGTCAGATTGTGAAAAAAATTGTTGAGATTTTTTTTTTTAGGTTGTTAAGGAATTCACCCCTAAACAATTGCCCCCTAATTTAAAAAAAAACAAAAAACTAAATTGTATGAAAGCAAGCACAAGGCGATAATTTGTGTTATAAATGTTTTAAGAAATAAATAGTATAAGTTTAAATAAGTTTTTTAAAATTTGCAATTTTTTTTTTCAAACAGTTTATTTAAATTTCATTGATAATTTTTTCTTAAAGCAATATTTTTTAATTTAAAAATGTTTTATAAATATTTTATAAAAATAAAGACTTTAAATGATTTTTTAATGCAGTTTCAAATTAAATTTAATTTCAATGTGGTACTTTAAAATAGGTAACTGTCGTATTTTAACTATTAACAATGCAAATATGGATATTGAGTAAAGTTACATTTATTTTCGTTACGTTTTTTTGTTATGCAACAAAATCTCATAACAAGGCCTGCACTTGGCAACTGTACTATACTTTGGTGCTTGGTCAACATGAACTTATACCAATTCATCAGTTATGGGTTGTGCTTAAACTCCAATTAGAGCATGGATTTTAATATATCCTCCATATTCAATTTTTTTTTCATTTTTTCATTTTTTTTTTAAATTTCTTCAATAAAACTACTTCTTTAATACACAATCAAAATGTTTCAACAAGTACTTAAAATGTTCATGTTGATATATAAATATTTAATTATTTTCTGTCTTATTGCAACTTTGTAGATAAACTTTTCAACAACCTAAGTACTTGCAAACCAAATATGGTTCTAAACTTTTTTTAATTTTGAGAGTATATTTGCAAGCCAAATATGGTTTTAAACTTTTTTTGATTTTTAGAGTATATTTGCAAGCTAAATATGATTTTAACATTTTTTTGATTTTTAGAGTGTACTTGCAAACCAAATACAATTTTAAACTTTTTTTAATTTTGGAATTTCACAAGCACTGCGTTCAAGCAGCTAGATATATTATTACTGAAAAAGCTCTTGTGTTTATTATTACTGTAGCTACTGATGGATATCTAGCTGTGTGGAACATAACCGAAGCATTGAGTGATTTTGTTTCCAAAATGCATGTTCATGACTATACTTCAGAAAATAAAGAACATTATGAAAATAAAAGAATAAAATTTCATGACCTTTGTTTTCCTTGTTTCAAAAATACATCACCTGTCATTTATACATCATTGCATCAATCAGGAATAAATGCCATTGATATATATTCTTGTAAAATTGGTAACTTTTTTTTACACTTGTCTATGTTTTTCAAGTTTCTGAATAAATTTGTTAACTACTTTTTAATATGAAATAATTTTTTTTTTTTTTTTTTGGGGGGGGGGGGCAAATGTTTAATAATATTTAAATAAAAAATTTCTATAATTGAAGTTTTGTGTTTGTTGTGTGGTATTTGTAATTTTTATTGTAGAGTTGAATGAAATAGTATTTGGGGTGTTATTTTTATTGAATGTATGTCAGTCAATATATTCAATAGTTGAAATCTTTTGTTAAAGAAAAAAAAGAAAATTTTTTTACAATGAAATTGTTGCATTCTAGGTAAATAATTGCAAACAGTTTAAAAAAAAAGGTTATTAAAGGATTATAAAGGTTTTAAATATTTCCTAAAGTTAAACATAAGTTATACATGAAATTTGTAAAAAATTTTATGCAATTTCTCAACACTTGTTTTAGATTTGCTTCTATGTTTTTCAAATAATTTATTGTTTTCTTATATTGTCGTCATTTTTTAAAATGGTTCCATCAAAGTCTTTCAAAATAATATTTTTAAAATTGCAAATGTAGTTGGTATTCTTCTTTTATTTTGTGTTGTCTTATTAGAAAATAATATTAGAAAATGTTAGATCAAAGATCTGGAAAAATACCATAGTATCCTTACCTTTAAGAATGAAAATGCATCTCTAACCATGTGCTGTGTGTAATGATATGGAAGCTATCATTGCAGAATGTATTACAAATTGCTTACTAACAAATAAATGTACAAATAAAAAAGCCCAGTTTTGTGTGTAGATGTTGACAACATTTAATAATGTTATTTTAGGATTTTGTTCCTCAGTGTGGAATCCCTATCTTTTAAATAATATTTATATCAGAAAGGAAATGTTCAGAAATATTACACAAACAGTAACTATTTTGACTTCTGTATACCAGGTTGAGTTATATTTACTCCTTGTCATTATTCAGCAAGAAATCCAAAAGCTTTTTTTATATAACAAATATAGTTATGATAAATACAAAGATTTGTTAAAGAATTATTATGTATGCATGTAAAATAATTATTATTTCATGTAAAAGAATGAAATTCCCTGATACTACACATACTTATGATATCTGATTATTTACTTATCTTCCTTGCTTTTTACTTATCTTCCTTGCTTATCTTTTTAAACAAATTTAAGATTTTGTTCTATATTAACATGTTTTTCTTGCTATTACATAAGAGTAATTTCAATATTGTCTGTCTCACTAATTTTTATTTTTTTTAAAATGTAAATGAATCAAATTATATCATAATGGACTATAATGATACAGTGTTACATATTATTGTACAATGATATAATTTATATAAATTTGAAACTACTTTAATTTTTCAAAATAAGTTTAACATATTATTTGCATATTGTTCCTAGTAAACTTTTTGTTTTGCTTTTTCTTATATTTCTGGTACTTTTAATGACTTTTATGATTAATTTTTATATTTAACTTTTTGTTCTTATGTTTTTGATTTTATTGCAGTTTATCATATAAAAATTAATATTTTGATAAAAGTTCGTTTGTAATTCTTTTTAGCTTATATGCTCTGATATTGTAACATAGTTGCAGTTAATTAGATTCCAACAGTTTTGAATCCTTATAAAGGAAATAAAGCAGTTTTAATTGTCAGTTAAACTTTCTCATTATTAGAGTGTTATGTTGTTTACTAGTGATGTATTTTGTTATGTTTTGCTGTTAATTTGAATTATTCATTAAATTTCTTATAAAATATTTTTAGGATATCTCATTGCAACAGGTGGAGATGACAATGCTTTATGTATAAGCTTATTTAATTTAAACTCCCTGCAGATATTAGCCAAAGATCAAAATGCACATTTTTCACAAATTACTGGTAGCAATTTTATGAATTTAAAATTTTTAATAATTTATCATTTCTTTAAACACTTTATTTTTTTAAATTTTAATTTTAAGAAATATACGATTCTAAAGTTTTATTCTATTAAAACATAAGAACTAAATTTTATTCAAATAAAAACTTTTGAGAATTTGTATCAAGGTAAATTATATGAATGCATTCAATATATATATATATATATATATATATATATATATATATATATATATATATATATATATATATATATATATATATATATATATATATATATATTTTTCCTTTATGAAGGTGTGAAGTTCATTAATGAGCACTTCATTGTTTCAACTAGTGTAGATCAAAGAGTTTATGTTTGGAACCTTGATAATTTCTCTCTGAAACGTGTTTGTGAAAGACATGTTAATATTGCTGACATCAGTTGCTTAGAAATTTGGATTGAAAAGTAAGCTTTATCTTGGTTTCAATTATTTTTTTATTTATTTTTAATTTAATTATTTATTTCATTAGTGAATACACATTCATATGCATATTCATTCATTATGCTTTTGTTTTTACTTATTAAGCAAGAGGTTTATTGTTACACTGTGTAAAAAACTAGCAACATGCACTGTTAATTGCAAAAGTTACACTATGTTTATAAAACTAGTAACATGCACTGTTAATTGCAAAAGTTATTTGAAAACTTTATTTAAATTTTATTTAAATAAAATAAACATTGAAATAAATGATAAGTTATATATTAACTTACAAAACGTTGTAAATGTTGTATATTTAAACAGCTTATAATCTTCATTGATCTAAAATTGTGCATAGGTATTTAAAGTAACCAAGACTAATTTGTCATGCCATTGTCTGTTTTAGTCAAAAAAACGTCATCTTTATATGTGAAAATAAAAAAAAAGCAAAAAAGTTTTATTAGATATAAAAAAATAGGTAATGTACAAAGCAAAGCTTGAATTTTTTTATTTTATATAAAGGAACTAAATTAACAGAGAAAAAAAAATATTTCCTATAATTTTACTATTCTCAAACAATTGCAGAAATGGAAACTATCAAATAGTTTCTTCTTTCTAACAAATATTTTTTTTTGCAGATTGGCGGGTAAAGTGGGGTTTGATGAGACTTTGCTTGTGCTGTACTAGTATTTCTTAAGTCTTTATTCTCAAACTCTTCAGGTTTTTTATTAAGAATGGAATCTTTCAAAAACTGTAAATGATTAAAATAGTTCCTTAATAACGATGAGGCTGAGTCTATAAAAATATGTTTTTTTGTAGCATTTCTACCATAAGCTGAGCTGCTTTCTGGTTTTGGAACATCAATAGTTTAGCACATTTGTTATCTTACATTACCCATTATATTAACTTTTGCTTGTTGCAATATTGCTTATTTTATGCTATATGTGAACTTAACTTTTTTTTTTTATTGAAAGATAGTATGGTATGTGTAGAATGTACTTTAAATATTGTATAAAAGCATACAATTAATTTTCTATCCGTTCAAGCCTTAATTTGGTTTAGGTTTACAAATTTTGTTTTTCAATGATTTTATTGAAAGAAGCAGCTATAAGACTGAGACAATATGTTTTGTAATTTATGGTTAAATAAAACTTGTTATTGAAGAGATCTGAGTCTAATTTTCCCACTTCATAAAATGAAGATTAAGATTTTTTAAATACAGTGGTCTACAAAACAGACTAACAAAGGTCTTGGCCTTTGCCCAATTATATTATTGTCTTTTGTACAATAAAGAGAAAAAATTCAAACAGGAAATAGATTTTTGTCAGATGTTTCACATTATATTTTTGCTTTTTACATCGCTATTTATATACCATTACATACTCATATGGTTTAGTTTAATACAGTATCACCTTTTGAATTCTGCATTAGTTATAATTTCAAAGGATTTAATAAAGTTTGTAAATCTTTTTCTGCATAACATCATCAGCTAGAGTAGAATAAAACTGTTACAAATTAAACCTTATTAGAAACCATTAGAAAGAAAATACTAAGAAAGATGTCAATAAAAATTATTTTTTTATTTTTAAAATTTTATGAATTATTAGTCTCCAACTGTTAGACATTTATTTACTGTTGTTCCTTTTAAAAATTTATGTACTGTTGTCCCTTTTTAAATGTTTTTATGTACTGTTAATTTATGTATTAAAATGTTAATGTTGTTGGAGAGTCTTTTGAGAAACTGATATTTTTCTCTATTAACTTAAGAAAGTTATAAAGATAACACGATAATTTTATTGTTGCCAATATAAATTTTAAATTACAAATTTTAAAAGTTTAATAGTGAAATTAATTTTCAAAAAATTCATTTATGGATTTAACAATATTTTAAGGGAGTATCTATACCCTAGTTATCAAGTATGATACACAAAAAACTGTTGAAACAATAACAAAAAACTAATCAATGCAGTATTTTTATAGATATCATCTTAGTATTATAGACATTATCTTTGCCTTCCTAATCAGTTTTTATCTTATTGACAGTTTTTATACAATTTATTTTGTAAATTTTGTATTTGATGATTAATTGCATTTTTTGCATTAATTAAAGGACTTTATCTTAGAATTATTAGCATGTTTGATAATGTTCTGAGCTATTCAGACTAATATATAACAAATAAATTAATTAAAAATAGTATGTTGCTTTTTTTATACACCATATTGTTATTTATTTAAAAAAAGATACAAAATACAAGAAATGCTGTTAATGCAGTTTTGGTATTATAGTAAATACAAAAAAATATAATATAAACAGTGGTAGCAGATGTCACTTTTACTAAAAGTTCATTTTTTTCTCAGCAATACCTATTTAAAACTTTTACTAAAGAAAAAATTAGTAATGACTAAATAAAAATGTAGTAAAACGTTTTACATAAACTAAATCATTTATTATTTACATAAAAAGAACAAAAATTTATAATAATAAAATATTAAACCAATTAGTGAATCTTTATAATTTCAATATAATAAAAAAATATTTAAAAATTATCTAGGAGTAATAACTAATTTCAAAACCAAATTATCTAGGAGTAATAACTAATTTCAAAACCAGTTTATTAGTGACTCAACACAGAGAGAAAAAAAGATTTAATCTTGAAAGTCAAATTTGTGTGGTTGATTAAGTTAATGGAGAGGGAAGAGGGAGGAAAATGTTGAATTATATCTTTCATTATAAATGCGTTAGGAGTTAAGTTCTACCTTTGAAAAAGTATTTATCTTTACAAAAAATGGTACTATATTAATTTTATGAGGCAAATCATTCCAAGTTTATCTACGGGTACCTATGAAGAAGTGCATTAATTTCCTCTCGTTGCTACATTAAGTAAGTAAAAGATTTAGGACACCATAACAATGGTGTATTTTTTTAAGGAGATATTTACAATTCTAATCTTTTTCGAAATGTTTCTGAGTAACAATTGAAAAACCTCTAGCCTATAAAGCATCTACTGCATGTGTATGTATGACTTGAATCTTGTGTGAGAATTTATTATATTTTTATTCAAAACATCAGAAAATACGGCTTCTCTCAATACTAATCATTTTTATTTTTTAAATTTTTGCTGGATTATAAATACCAGCATCATCAGCTCGTTAAATTTTACAATAATTTTAAACGTTAAGGTCAGTTTCCACTCATCCAAGGAAAAAATAAACACGCGAGAATGCGTAGTTTTGGATTCGGATACACTAAAACGGGTGAATGGAAACTGAACTTATAAGTTTTAAATAAAATTTTTACTGGTGACGTTGGCGGCTGAACAGCTTTTTCTTTTTTTGTCTGAATTTAAAAAACGGCGTCAAAACATTTATGGCATATTTATAGCGTCAATATATATATATATATATATATATATATATATATATATATATATATATATATATATATATATATATATATATATATATATATATATATTATCTTTGAAAATCATTGTCTTGTTATACAATAAAATATGTATAGAATTCAATCAATACGAATGTATAAAAACTTTTTAGAAAATATATATATGGATTTAATTGTAACATATATTAATTGATATTTCGCTGATCTATTGTCATGTAAATTATACCTTATATAAACATATACTATACCTGATGACTCTGATCACAATAGGTCAGCGAAATATAGATTGATTTATATTAAAGTAAATTAAATATATATTTTTTTAAAAGTTTCTACGCAGCCGCATTTATTGAATTCTACACATACACGTATGTATGTGTATATTATATTTAAAATTCTCTTATTTTACAATGTTTAGTGGAATAGTGTATTTGGCTATTGGTGGAATGGGCGTTGAAATATTATCCTTTAATATTTTGGAACTTGTTAATTGTATCAAGTAGAAGATTTTTTTTTTGTAATTTTAATGGTTTATTTATTTCTCCTATTGGTTAATGTTACGAATTGGAAATATTTTACTGAACATACGTGAATTTTATTGGTTACTGTCTAAAACTGTTGACTTTATGCATCATTGAAGCCATGCATAATAAATGAGCTACGTGTATTGAGTGTTTTTATCTATTTTTCATCTGGGTTTTTCAATGAATTAATTACAATTTTTGGAAACAATTTTATTCAGTTTATCGCTTTGCTAAAATATCGTTAATGCTGTATCGAGATAATATCAAGACTTGAAAATTTATGGGAGAATTGTTTATAAAAAAAGATAAATATTTTTAAGAGCTATTTGAACGTTTAAAAAATAAAAAAAGATAAATATGTAACTTATGAAATAATGTTGAAGTCAAGTAACATAACTTAAGTACACGAAGAACTACGGCTTGTTGCTATAGTTACTAATATGAATGCTTTGACAACTATGTGCTAATTAGTAAATATATATTGATAAATTAATAATTATTAATAATAATACCGTTACTGCTTATAAAAATAAAAGCGTTGTTGGTTCGTTTAATAAATTAAGGGAATTTTTTTGAAAAATAATATTTTTTTTTTATCTTTATTTTTATTTTTTGAGAATATTGACGCTTATTCAATAGATAAGCGTTTGCGCAGGAGGAATTAGCGTAAATCGGTTCTTTTTACGAGAATTTATAAATGTTGAAATTTAACAAAGATATAAATTCGTCCGCGGTTAAAATAAGTGCAATTTCTATATCTCTCAATATCGGTTGCGTATTGATAAGTTAGAAATAACGAATCTTAAAATAAGTCGCAAAAATGATCAATGAAATGAATGCTTTAAATCAATGAAGATTATTTTGAAATTAATTATTAATACTTTTCATGTTTTTAAGCAATATTTTGATATATTTTTGTTTGATAGTCGCAAGTTATTGAGAAGAAATTGGGAAAAGAGAAAATTACGTATAAAAACAACAATGTATTTTCTTTTTATTAACATAAAAGGTCGCTACAAAAGTGAGAAGTGAAGGCATTTCTGTCGAAGTGATTTGAACATAAGTTTTTAAAGTATGATGAGGTAAATGGCTGAAATTAAAATAGTTTTTCAACGTGACGAGGAAAGTGATGATGATTTTTCTAAATCTTTTCCAGGTTAGTGACTTGTTTACACGAAGTTGCAAATATTTTTACATGCAAAACAGTGATGAGTGTTATCGAAAAAAAAATTAAAATTAGTTGAAGCACACACTCATGTAAAGAATATTTGTATAAATTTTATTAATTTCATCTGTAATATTCTAAATATAATATTTTGATTAAAATAATAATACAAGATAAATATTATTAGATATATTTATATCTAATAATATTTATCGTTGTAATTAGCCAAAGTTTGCATTATGGAATTTATTACAATCTAAATACTCATTTAAATTAAAAACTGAGTTTAATTTAAATCAATGTAAGAACAAATTTTCTGAAATTTTTCGAGTTTAAGGAATATAAGTAGAGTTGAAACAAATTTTCTGAGTGCGTAAAGAGTTGTATTTGTTTGTACAACGCAATGTAGGCCAAAGTTTAAATGGTAAGGTCGTATATTGACTTTTTCTATTATTTACAATCAACATGCATGCATAAATGGCGAAGAATGTTTATTTTATAATGCATTTGATCAATTTTTTATATCCTTTAGGGCGCCTCAAAGTCAAATGATTGTTAAATTATTTGTGATAAACGTAAAATATTGGGAATGCAGCTGTGACATTTAGAAATAATCTATTCTTGCGGGATATTAAAATACTTATCTATGATTTTATAATTATTTTTAAAAAAAAAAGTATTTTTTATTTTTTTAGTAGGTTTTTTATTACATTTTAAAGAAATTTTTTACGATATTTCATGAAAAAGTTGCAGTACTGAGTTTCAGCGTTTTTAGTGTCGCGGTGGGATAAAATTAACTTAAAAACATACTTTAATACTTTAACTAACACTTAATAGTTAAGATTGTTTACTTCCTGCGCATGGTCGCTGCATGTTATTAAAGGTTGATTATAAATACCAAATTTAACAAAAAATTGAGTTTACAAAATTATATATGCAATTAAAATATTTTTTACAATTTGTATATAGTACAACTTTGATAAGGAAAGAGGATCCAGCAAGATTTATCTCTCATATAGTTAAGTAATAGAGGCAAAGGAATACTGCATTCTTGTCTCTGGAAAACAAGCAGAGGGCTACTGAGCCGAGCTAGCATATATTAAACCTGACAATAAAGCAGCAAAGTTTTAAACTTTTACGAATTAGCAAGGTTACATTTGATGGTAGTATAGGACAACCTGTTTACAAATAAAAAACTGAAGATTGTAATTTTGAAGATGTATGTGTTGAAAAAAGTCTATTCCTGACTTGCCAGGTACCACTTTAACTGTCTGCAGTTGATACAGCTGTTCTATGGATTAATGAGAAGCATTTGTCAATTAGTATTTCAAATCAATACAATTTAGATACGCTAAAGCGAAAAATTAAGTTTTTGTTCAGAAGCTGAACCATGTCATAAAACCGGAGCTTCAGCCCACTCAAGATGAAATTTTTTTTATTAAACATCAATCAGAAATAACCACAGTGGATGGCCAAGTAGCAACAACAACCTCAGCAATGTGTTTTTCTGTTTGTGGAGCAATTCCAAGTGAAATGAATAAACTAGATACTATATACAAAAAAAAAAAACAACGCACTAAGTGAATCTGGCTTTTCCTTTGGAACATCTATTCTTCATGTATGAATGAGATGTACAGAGTGTCTCTTAATCATATCTCATACAGAACGGGTTTTTGTTAAGTTAAGGGAGAAGTAAATAAACTGAAGGTGAATGATAAAAATTTATTGGTTTAGAGAGGGAGACGATTGAATTAGTAGTGAATGCCACTAGTCCTGGCGAATTTGGAACATTTAATGATGGTAATACTGCAAGACCTTTTTTCAGGGTATATGTCAGATATTATTTTGCGTATAATAAATTGCTTAAAAGTTAATGTAATCGTGTTTATTTTTCTTATAAAAAATTATATTTTTAAATCATAAATCAAAGTATATCTTGCTCAACATGTGGTTTAACACAAACCGTTAATTAATCCCCACCATTATACATACTTATACGGTCCTTTAAAAGACATCGGTGTCTCTATCTAGTAAAATTTATTGAGATTAGGTATGTAAATGAGCTTAGGCAATATTACTTAGAGATTAAGATTATCTTTAAGTATAATGATTCAAATTTGTGCATGTATATACCTATGACAAATAATAATGCTTAGCAAAGATAAATTGCCGCGATTTAAACCTGGGAACAACAAAAATCGTAAAAATTATGTACGTAACCAAGTTTGGAGTCTAGTAGCTCAAATTAAACACAAAAAAATTTATTAAAACATGTTAAATGTTATTTAAACTTAGGTTCTAGTTTTGTTGTAGAAAAAATATCTTCACTACTATATAATTCACAACTTGTTTTATAAGTTTATTAGAATTATGGTAAAAAAAAAAAAATCTAAACACATAACTTGCAACGTTCTTTTATAAACGTTTTATTTACATAATATGATTTAATTATATGGCTTCTTCTGCGCATACAAAAGCACTGAAGGTCTAATTTTGAAACTTTACCAAATTGTTGCCTAAGCAATTTGATTAAAATATAAGAAAATACAAAACATCTAACTCTATATAAAAAATATTTTATATAGAGTTAAGCCATTACTATGAATTTCATTCAAAATCTGTGTTTTTCATTTATATACAGTCACTGAAGCTATGGCAATATAGGTTGGTCTTGCACGAACCACACTAAACTAACCAAATTATACAACAAACAAAAACATGCCTACATGATTGTGTTTAGACTCATCAAAACAGTTCGTTGTGAAATTCTTTTACGGAATTAACTATAAATACCCTAGTCAATTTTCAGAAAATAACTTCAATGTTCGAAAACCTTACTCAAAACTATGTTCTTACTCTATTCTATTCTTTACTCAAGTTTTTATAACTTATCACATTCTCTGCTTTTATTTTTGTATCTTTATTTGATAAAATTATTGTAAAATTTGTCAAATTTAAAAAGTTGTTGTTGTTATCTTTTATATCTACGATTGTAAATACAGCAAAAAAACGGTGCTTGGAAATAAGTCTTTACTTTGCTCCTTCTATAATTTTTCTTTTAAGTATATATATAAATATATATATATATATATATATATATATATATATATATATATATATATATATATATATATATATATATATATATATATATATATATATATATATATATATATATATATATATATATTGATTTTACTTATTATTAGACGGCAAAATATATGTTAAGAAAAAGTAACTAGAAAAAAATATCCAATATTGGGGTGAATTGAGAGAGTTGTGAAAGGTTAATTTGAACTAAGAAAAGAAGCGGAAATTGTATATTGGTCGAGTTGATCATGTTTTGTACTCGAAAGAATGTCTTGGAACATTTCTGCGTCTTGAAAAATATAGGGATAGGTCTCACTTTGTTTTTTCTCAAGTTGAAGACAAATCACTCTCAAATAATAGGAATCAACCAACTCTTAAACGTAGAGATATTTTAAAATTCAATGTTGACTCTAGGAAACGTTGGCAATTCTCATTTTGTTAATACTATAAACGGCGGTACCCGTATATATTTTTATTATCACTAATTAAAAATATGCTGCACTTGAATTTTAATATAGCCTCTTTCCAAGTAGTAATGTGTTAAACAAACGGTGCTCATTTTCTAATATTTTTACCATTAATTTGTATGAGGTTTTTTATTGATAATTTGTGTTTATCATGTGCGAATGTGCTTTATTTATGTTTTACATTAGAGTGTATCAATTCCCGACAATTTTTTGATCCCGTAAAGCGGAAAATAATTTCCTGGATTCCCGGAAATTTCCCACGAATAAATCCTTTCTTAAACAAATATGTAAACGCGAGACTAACTTTTAATAAAAAAACGACATTCATTTTTAAAATGTTATTTTATTTCAAATTTGTATGTTTATGCAAAATTTGTATATGTACGCATTAGAGTGGAGTGATTTGACTCCTTTTTGGATTCTAAATTCTTGACGGTTCTAATATTGTTGGAATTTTTTTTAAAGTAAGCGGAATAGTATGCTGATTTTGAAAGTAATATTTGTTTTTATTTAAAAATAAAGGAATAAAAAATAGAGTTATTTTTAACAAAACAGGTATTTTTAAAGAAAATTTTTAAATCAATTATATTATTTATAAAACCAAAGAAATATAATAGCTGGAAGGAGAACGATATAGGTCATTTCTCAAGAAACAGTAACATAATTTGTAAGTAGCATAATTTTCTTTTATGTAACATAGTTTTCTATTAAACACCGCATAGTTATCATAATTTAAAGTTAACAAATCACATTCCAGTTTTAGCAATGATATTGTTTCAAAACGTCATAAACAATTGAAACATTGCAAATAAAACATGGAAGTTTAAAAAGTTCGTAAACAATATTTAGAGTTAGTTTATTTTGTTATGTTGTGCTTTTGAACAACTAATAATAAATTTCTAGATTAAAATTGAATTAATAAATGTCTAGATAAGAATTGGTAGTATTTTTGCCAGGTATTTTATATCAATATATTTAGAATAAAGCAATTTGCTTTTTAAATCTAGCAAAAATACTACAACACAAAATAAAAGCCTGGAGGGATTTAATAAATCATTTTATGCTTCGTTCTCCCTCCAGCTATTATATCTCTTTGATAAAACATGCATTTTTTTCTGCTTTTTTATGGTTTAGAAAAAAAAAGTTAAAAATAATTAGGACCTGTCAAGTATTTAGAATTCAAAGAGGAACCTCAAGAGCTCATAAAAATCGGAAAATATTTTTTTACTTTCTTTCTAAATTATAAATTAATAGACATCGATTCGCGTCTCAGGAATATCTATTTTCGAACTTTTTTTTTCTCTATGAAAATCGCTCCACCCTAGTATGCATATTTAAAATTTGTAATACATTTTGTTCAAGAAAAATTAATTTTACTTGAACAAAACATATTTTGAACTTATTTGGTTAGGAAATAACTTTTAAAAATTGTGA